CTTTCTTACCAAAGTCTTAGCTCCCTGCCCTGTTAGACTTCTCCAAGCCAGGTTGCAGCAGGCTTGTTAGCCTGTCATTCAAGATAGGTGAGTTGTTATAGACAAGTTGAAATGTATTCAGAGAAGCCCCTTAAAATGCAGTCCACCTTGAGTTGTTAAGACATGTAATTTCCATGTTATAAATGTTATTCCAAAGTATAGAAAAAAAGTAGGAAGCTGCCTGACTTCGTTTACAAGACTTGCATAACCCTGACACAAAACAGGGCAAGGGTAACTCAAGTAGAGAAAAATAGAGACCTAACTCACTCAGGAATCTAGATGACAAGTTTCTAAGTAAGAAGTTAATTAACATTAAAAATTAGTAAGAAAAATAAACAAGAGACCAGCAGAGTATATCCCAGGCATGCAAAGATGGCTTATTGGAAAAGCTAAGTGTGTAATCTATATATTAATTAAGGTGAAGAACTGTCACCTTGTTTTCAGACCCCTTAGCAATCTGGGGTAGCAGGCAACTGGTGGAACTTTATCATCACACTGGTCATCTGGAAGCGTTGGCTGTAATAGAGTCATGAGAAGCCAGGCTCCACAAACAAGGCACTGGCTCTTCTCCATGATGTGACAGGAAGGGCCAGCTGTGGGTACGGAGCAGGGTGAGTGTTATGTAGACCCAGCGGTGATGGCTCATGTGATTGGGTTTCTGCCACCTGTGTGGAAGGATTGGATGTGACTTCTGGTTCCTCATTTCAGCCCAGGCCCATCCCCAGCCCTTGCAGGCTATACGTGGGAGTTCTCTGTCTCTGTCTCCTAATTAATGAATAATTGCTGTTGGAAAGGAGACCAAGCTATCTTTGTGGGTGAAATAATTTACTCAGAAAAATCTAAAGAATCACTGGACCAGTTATTTGAAGTTGATGCAGTCATACAGCATCAACATACAGAATCAGTAACTTTCCCAGATATCAACAGTCACAGTTTAGAAATGTATATGGGAGGGAAGGTACTGTGGCCCCAGCAGGTTAAGCCAGCATGTGGGACACCCATGTCCCTGTCCAAGCTTCTGCTTCACACTTGCAGTCCAGCTTCTGCCAATGTGTTGCTTGAGGCCTGCCACTCACAGCAGAGACCTGAGTGGAGTTCTGGGCTCCTGCTTCAGCTTGGCCCAGCCCTGGCTGTGGTGGCTGTGAACCAGTGGATAAAAGATCTTGCTCTCTGTGTTTCTTGCTGTCATTATGCCTTTCAAATAAGTAAATCCTTTTTCAAAAAAAAGGGCGGGGGGGGCAAAGTCATTTTACTTTTTTTTTTTTTTTAGTGTTCCTGAGGAAGATTTTTATTTCCATCTTAGAGATGTAAAAACACATTAGCGATTGACTTGACCAAAGTCACACACCTAACAATTAGCAGAGGCGGGCTCACGTCTCATCTGCCTCAGCCAAGACGCTGTTCTTTGTAGTGTTACCCTCCAAGGCATTACTGTTTAGTGCTTCATATTCCACTTTTAGCTGCAAGTCTGTTTGATAATGGGCATTAACATGGAATCAGAGCCAAACTGTGGTTGTGGAGGTGCCTTTGTAGGTGGCAAGAACTATGCAGACCATCACTTATAAGTCGACAGTAACAACCTCACTGCCCACACCGGGTGACAGTAAAGAAAAGCTTGCTCAGGCCGTGTTCCTAGGGTAATGAGGCCTGTGGCTGAAGCTGCCTCTCACAGGAGCTCACGTGGAGTCCTAAGCATAGTGAAGTTGCAGAAGGCCTCTGCTCTAGACAGGCTGTGTGTGTTGTTTAAGTTGATTTATTTGGAAGGCAGATTTACAGAAGGATCCATCTTCCATCCTCTGGCTCACTCCCCACATGGCTGCAACAGCCAGAGCTGGACTAGTCTGAATCCAAGAGTCAGGAGCTTCTTCCACATGAGTGCAGGGGGACCTCTTTCACTGCTTCCCCAAGTTCTTTAGCAGGGAGCTGAACCAGAAGTGCAGCAGCCAGGACTTGAACTAGCACCAATATAGTATGCCAGAGTTGCAGATAGTGGCTTTACACACTGTGCCACAGTGCCCCCCTCCTTTTGTTATTAAGTTTGAAAGTCTAACAGTTTCGAGATGCCCACCACAGAGCCAGAGAACACACTGACTGCTGAGTCTTGTGGTTGAAGGTTGATGCTGTCAGATGGGTGAGGTGGGCGTTTTTACCAGTTTGCACACACAGACAACAGAGAGGTGCTGAGGAGACCTGGTTGCTCACATGTGTGTGTGCAGGCCTCTGCAGACTGCTTTCTTCTGCTCTCCATGGAAACCACAGCTGAGTTAGGGAGAACCAGCTGAGAGGTGAGAGGATTCTTTGTTCCCCTCTTGCCTTTCTTGGAGATGCCCTGATAGTCCACTCCTTTCCTTTGTTGCTTTGCCGGATTTGGGTGACAGTGTAGCTCTGAAACCAGCCTCTACATGTGATGGCACCTGTTTTCCATCAGTCAGACAAACACGGGACAGCGGCACTTGGCAGGCTGGGGCCTGGACTGGGACGCACTGTGGACAGATGTCTCGCAGTCAGCCTCTGTCCAAACCTATCGTTAGATTGGGAGGTGCTGCCAGGTTTCTCTCAGGCACCCCCCTGCAGACAAATGTCTGGGGTCCTCTGCCCTGGGTCATGCAGAGGAGGCTGTTGCAGGCTATAGAAGCAGGATGGCTGCATCAGAGGGCAGTGCTTCAGCTGATGAACATGGGGAAACAGGGAGTGTTTCATATACCGGATTGACTTCCTACACGTTGTTAACCCAGACTTTGGTCACAGAAGTTAGGGTGCTATGAAGACTGACAGGGGTCATTGCCGCTGAGTTCACCGGGTTGCTGGGAGCCCATGACAGTGCTCACCAGGTCAGGCACCCAGCCTAACAGTCAGCTGTAACATGGTTGTTAGAAAAGAATTTAACCCTTGAAATGGAATCAGTTGAAGTGCCCTTATCTACTCATTTAAAAGGTATTTATTGAGGTCTTTAGCAACCTCCTGATGATGTTGTAAAGACATCATCCTCTTATCACCCTCCCCCATTCATATAAAGCAGGGTGTGCCTTCTTACTAGAAGTTACGATTGTGTTACTTTGGGACAGGAAGTGAGATCACCCAAGTTCGAGAGGCAGCATGTCACACGGCTTTGTAGCCAGGACCTGCATCTCAGTCCAAGCTCAAGCAGTGACCACAGCAGCCCACACAGCGTGGAGTCTCTGTGTGACATGGACTGGTAGAGCTGAACTGAGGGGTCGCACTGTCTCAGGATCCCAGAATGCTATGAGCACTCACAGAGTTGGATGCTGTGGGGAGTTCTTGGCTTTGCAGTTGGTTTGAGAGGAAGTACAAGCCCAGGTTATCAGCTTGGTCTCTCAGTTCCTTGGATCCCAGGGACAAGTAGCAGCTCTTTGTTTGATTTGTGAACCAAGCAAAGGGTAGAAAAGTGACAGGAGACCCTGTTTCACTGGTGAGCCCTGCCCTGGCTTACACCTGCAGGAGAGTGGGCTTCTTAGGACAGGACCCCAACATTAGACAGACCTGTACTACTGGACACGTTGGTGTGGGAGAAACTGACCCCCCCCCCCAACCTCCAAGCAGTCACAAGAATGACTGCTGGTATGAGTGATGGTGTCAGGCGGGTGGTGGGCTCCCAAGGAAAGGGCTGAGTGAGCCAGGGTAAGGCATGAGCAGGACGGGCATTCAGGTGGCCTGCTAGCACAGAGAAGGAATCCCAAGGGAGCAGAAGATGCACACAGATGACAAACCAGGGAGACGTGGCTCATAGGTCTGGGGCAGCCCAGAGCATCCGGAGGCCTTAGCTCTTGACTTTAGGGTGGAGACAACAGCTTTGCTGACCTTTCTCTACTGCTTCAGGTGAAGACCTTATGTCAGTGTCAGAATTAGTTGAGTGGATTGGGCGGATCTGAAACAAACATAAATCCTGCATCAGGCATGGAATAATGAAAATAAAGGAAAAGCCGGGAGGGTTGGGTCTCCAGAGGGAGTTTGCATGCTCCACTAAGTTTTAAAAACCAGCAGTGACTGTACTGCCTAATGGAAATCAGAGGGTCTTGTCTTTCTTCTGTATCCCTGTAGTCTATTATTATTACTTCAGAAGTGGGGAGCAGAGTAAAAACAGAATTTTTATAAGTGTATTTGTTTCAACTTGGCCTGACTCCCAGAAGAAACTATGACCCTCCCCCCCCCCAAAAAAAGTAAAACATGGAGACACAAATGAGGCGGGGGGCACATGAAACAGCAGTTCAGTGGGGATGACCATGGATTTGCCATAATTGGGAGACCTAGCCATGAAGATGACAATCCTTTCCATCTGTTTGTGGGGCCCTGGTATTGACATTTAAGAAAAACTTTTAAGGTGGCCTGCTTTACTGGGTTCAGGGGGCACTAAGATGGTACATCCGGTGCGGGAGACCACCTGTGCCCATGGGATTTGCATGTGCTCTGCCCATTAAAACAGCCCTCACTGCTGAAAAAGAGAACGGGCAGTAGAGGCTCCACCCTTCCTTGGAGGTGACCTTTGTGCCATGCAATTGCCCATCTTGCTGCTGGTCTAATGTGACCACAAACGCTTACTCACCTCTCACCTGAAAGATGATGACACTTCTTCCTGGAAAGCTAGTACTATGGCCCTGAGGTATCTTTATCTCTGCTCAAAGACTTCCGCAGCCATGCACTTAAATATCTGGATTTTCCTTTTGGTGATGCATATCTCCCCTCCTTGCCATGGAACTCTCCCTGGAATCCCCCTTGTTGAACACAGCTTGCTGGAGGCTGGTGGCCACGCTGTGCTTGGACAGGCCAGCCCTGCAGAGGCCCTCCTGCCACGACCAGCAGAAACTCGAGGCCTCGACAAGTCTGAGATGCCACAGCCAGGGAGTCCACAACATTCGCATAATGTGTGTCAGGGTTGGGGCGAGGGGGCTTTGTTGTGGCTGCTGCTTTTTAATTAACACTCAAACTCTCCCCGCTCTGCACAGACAGCTACGGACAGTTCTTCGAACTCCTCTCAGAAGAGGGAACAACCTACACGGACAATCTCCTCCCCCACATCCTGCGAACACCAGAGGATTTACACCCTGGGCCATCTCCACGACGTGTATCCCCCGGACCATTATCACCTCGACCAGGTGAGCAGCATCTCACTCCTGTCATGCTCAGGGCACATGGCCCCGTCTCTGGAGTGGAGCCACACACCTCGAGCCCAGGTCTCTTGTTTTATACCTTTGTGTTTGTCAGTCTTACTCTGAAGGCAGTAGCCTCAACCTTACCCAGAATTTTCTGCCTGCCAAATCCGCTGTCTGGTTTGATCCTCACAAATTGGCTCCACATGGGCAGGTGGCTAGCATCACCAGCTGGTAGGTGAGGAAACAGAGACTTAGGGGAGATGGAATAGGACCTGATGAAACAAGTTGGAAACCCAAGTCTGTGCCCCACTACTCTGGGCACTGCACCTGTGTGTCCCAGGGACCTCCTGGCTTTGTGTGGTATCACAGCACCACGATCCATACTAAAGAATACCATGCATTTGACTCCAACCTGCTGGCATCACAGGCTGCAGGCCTTGTCTCGCTCAGAGGGATACAACGGAAGCTTGGAATTCGGTAATTCAACAAATATTTACTGAATATTTACTCTGCTTTGCAGAGCAGGTTTCCAAACTGCAGGACATGGACTGGTGCCCGTGTGGGGTGGTGTGGTCACTAGACTGCTGTTGAAATGAGAACAAAGGGACATGGTGGCAGCGGGGAGGGGTTGAGTTTGTTTTGGACATAAAGCTAGATTTCTTGGACTCTGTTTTAAAAGGTATTTTGTTATGTGTGCTAATATTTTAGCTTCAAAATGTTCTCTTTCTAAAATAGCATTATGGTAGTAACCATTGGAGATGGACTTTTTGGCTTTCCTTACTTGGCAGCGTTAAAAAAAAAAAAAACTAGCAAAGTCTATTATCAGCTCCCACACTTTGTTTGGAACTTCTCTAGGACTATGATTGTTCCAAAGGCTGGGAACATCTGATAGGAAGATTCTGACAAGAATTTGGGTATAATGCAAGAAGTGTGGCCCCTGTCCTGCAGGAGCCCATGGGCTGGCGGTGGATAAATCTCTCACCATGTGTGAGTTCTCTGGCAACCTTCTAATGCCCACCATGGTAGCAGGTGTCAAGTGCTCCCTATACACCGTTAGAGCTCTGAGCTGACTCTTGCACAGTTGGCTTCTCTTCATTCTCGCACGAGCCCATGCAGCTCAGTAGCCAGGGCCACTGGGTCTCAGCGACTTGCTCATCAGTCCCCTGTGGTCAGTCTGCTTCTGACCACAGCGGGTTCCTGCAGAACCATGTTCCTAGTCCCCTCACAGACCTTACCTGTGAAGGACTTGCAAGACAGCAAAACCGCTTTCCTACCACCACTGGGATCGCTGGGCAAGCAAGGTTGCACATATCTCTCCAGTAAATATTTACTCAGTGCCTCCTGCCCTGGATGAGGTACAGTTGATCAGCTGCAGAGAAGGCTCATTCATCCGACCAGGCGAGGAGGCCACTTGGATTGGAGGGCTAGGAGGTGTGGTTCGGGGACTGGCTGCTCCTGTTGCGTGAGATGACAACCCAGGGATCAGGGGAGATAGGAGAGTTTATCTTTACTCCCCTTCACACATCTTTGCTCCTGATCTCTCCAGCAGATTGCAGACTGAACATTTTGTTAAAAAAGATTTTATCTATTTTATTTGAAAGATAGATTTACAGAGAGGAGAGACAGCAAGAAAGACCTTCCGTCTACTAGTTCACTCCCTAGTAACTGCATCAGCCAGAGTTGAGCCAATCAGGAGCCAGGAGCCTCCTACTGGTTCCCACATGGATACAGAATGCCAAGGATTTGGGCCATCCTCCACTGCTTTCCTAGGCCACAGGCAGAGAGCTGAATCAGAAACGGAGTAGCCAAGACATGAACCGGCACCCATAGGGGATGCCAGTGCTTGAAGGTGGAGAATTAGCCTGTTGAGCCGTGTTACCAGCCACTAAGCCCTCTTTTTTTCTTGAACGGCCCTCTACTGTTCTATTGAACATGACCAGCAGTGAGAAGGACGCCTTAATATTGTGACCTAGTGTCCTCAAACTATACACACAGAACTTTCATGAAGCAGCACTTACCCTTTATGGCACGCAAAGAAAGCCAGTCTCATGAAGGAGCACATAGCATACAGAAACAGGCTAGCTGGCAGGCATTTGACCTTGTGGTTCAGGCACCCCAGTCCGGCATCAGACTTCAGCAGTTGAGTTTCCAGCTCTGGCTTCTGACTCCAGCTTCTTGTGCCTTCAAACACTGAGGCAGCAGCAGGTGATGGATGGCTCAAGTCATTGCCTCCACATCACCCACATAGAGACATGGAGGCAACCCCAGCGCATCCCGTCCCACCCTTGGAGGCATCTGGGGAATGGGCCAGCTTGCTCTGTGTGTCCTCTCTCTCTCTCTCTCTCCTCTCCCTCCATCCCTCTCTCCCCCTCTCCCCTTTCCTCTCCCACCCCCTTCACTGCCTCTTAGAAAAACAGACAAGTGTGACTGGTATTACTGTTGGGAATGGCTGGCACTCTGGGGGAGCGGGAGGTACCTGGAGGAGTGGAGAACATTCTGGGGAGGCAGGTCCTGTTCTGGCTGTTAACCAGACCCTGGTGCTGTGCATGCTTGCTGAGAGTGGTGGAGATGCTGGTCTCAACCTATTACATGAACATCCAAACCTGGTAAATGGGGTACAGACTCAAACCTTGAAATATGTTTTTGACAAGCCCACAGGATGTGTAGTCATTACAGCATGGGTCAGTTTCTTTGGGCAGAGTCTGGAAGGGGCAGGGGCATCCAAGCATTTGGTAAAGAGGGAAAGGTACCCACAGAGTGCTTGATTCTGCTCACTGCTCCAGCTGGGAGACAGCAGATGACTCAAGCACTGGGCTTGCTGGTGTGCCTGCCACTCTACTGAGACAACCAGACTGAGTTCTGAATTCCTGGTTTCAACCTGGCCCACCCCGTGGGTGACCAGCTTTTAGGGAGTAAACCAGCTGATGAGAAATTTGTCTGTTTACCTTTCCAATAAATAAAAGCTTTTTTTGTTGTTGAGGTTTGTTTGTTTCCTTTAAAAAAAAAAAAAACAAAAAAGCTAACAAGCTGCTCAGTGGCGGTGAAAGGTGCGTTTGGACTGGGAAGGGAGACAGTTAATGTTGGCCACTCCTGTAAAATGTGATCTCCTTCTTCCCCGGGCGCAGCCGATGCCGAGGCCCTACCGCCAGGTGAGCTTCCCGGACGACGACGAGGAAATCGTGCGCATCAACCCCCGAGAGAAGATCTGGATGACGGGCTACGAAGACTACCGGCATGCACCGGTCAGGGCCAAGTACCCGGACCCCTCGGAGGACATGGACTCCTACGTGCGCTTCGCCAAGGGCGAGGTCCCAAAGCACGACTACAACTACCCTTACGTGGACTCCTCAGACTTTGGCCTGGGCGATGACCCCAAAGGACGAGGGGGCAGCGTGATCAAGACGCAGCCCTCCCGGGGCAAGTCCCGGCGGCGGAAGGAGGACGGCGAACGCTCACGGTGCGTGTACTGCAGGGACATGTTCAACCATGAGGAGAACCGGAGGGGCCACTGTCAGGACGCACCCGACTCCGTGAGAACTTGCATCCGCCGCGTGAGCTGTATGTGGTGCGCAGACAGCATGCTCTATCACTGTATGTCGGACCCCGAGGGGGACTACACAGACCCCTGCTCGTGCGACACCAGCGACGAGAAGTTTTGCCTCCGGTGGATGGCTCTTATTGCCTTGTCTTTCCTGGCCCCCTGTATGTGCTGTTACCTGCCCCTTCGGGCCTGCTACCACTGCGGCGTGCTGTGCAGGTGCTGCGGGGGCAAGCACAAAGCGGCTGCGTGACCCAGCGCTGCCCTCCCGTCCTCCTCCACCACCACCGCACCCAACCACAAGGGAACCTGTCGTTGGCATCGTCGTCGTCACTGTCTCTGTCTCTCGATGCGCTCTTGTTCTCCGCCGGGACCGTGAGGCGCCATTCCAGCCCCGGGAACCTGCCCGGGGGGCTCGCGGCTCCGGACGCCACCCACCCACCCACACACACACACCCATCACACAGTCGTCTAAGGAAAGGAACCTTGGGCCCAGACTCTGGTGTATTCTTAACATTCTGTAATCCAGTTGTCTTATTATCCACGTCTCCATCTCCTGTCTTCCCTACCTCTTCCAGTTCAAGAGGCATCTGAGGTGGGAACCGCCGAGTCGGGGTGGGTTTTTCAGACCTGCATCTTCCTCTCAGCTCGGCAGCAGGTTCCTGCGGAAAACGAATGTCTGAATGATGCGACCCTTCCGGAAGTATTGTAACCTGCAGTCAGTGAATAAGGATAGGAGGTGAGCTGGTTTACAAACGTGTACTACCACACAGCGCTTTCAACTCTTTAAAGCCAAATTTCCCGACGCTGCAGTTTCTCTCTTACGTCCCTCACTTTCTGTTGTCCCTGTGTACCCCCTCCCCCCACCCTGCAAAAAAAAAAAAATCTATCGAAATTGTTCATTGATGCAAAACATTCACCCATAAAATGAGAATTGAGCCTTAACTTCAGATTAACTCGTAAGAATCAGGACAATTCCTTAAACTGCATTGCATTGCATCTTCTTGGACCAGGACTAGAAGGGCAGTTTCAGGTTTCAATGAGTCTCCCTGGTTACTAACCCCAAAGCTGGACTTTTGTTTAATAGTTGCGTCACCACCACTTCTTTAATTAGCAATATTAAAGTAAGAGTAAATATTACAGTAATAAATCTTGCTCGTTGTTTCACGAGCCAAATAGTCTATTCCAACACAAACGAGTGCCCTGGAAGAAAGTTCCGGTTGAGCCGCATGACGGTCTCAGTGAATAAAAGTGTAGGAGCTTCTTTTCCTCCTCCATTGGTTATTTTATATTAACAGGATGGGGGCTTGGATTTTAGGCGTGATCAATCTAAAGAGTGGTGGGTCCCATTTTGGTTTGTGGGTTTACGTGCTCATTTTCGTTTTGGACTCGAGTTTGTGTCACCAAGTTCTACGTTTTTACTTGGGAAAAAACAAGGCCATATGTAAAAACCCTTTGATACCTAAGTGTCTTTCTGCTGCAACTCCAAACCCAGACTTGCCACTTTGCGTGCTCAGGTGGTTAGGTCCACCAACCGGATCCACCTGAGACCTTGCCACGTAGGAGGCTGCTCATTAGCTGGGAAAGAGTATTTTTCTAATATATTGCAAGGAAAAGCCAAATCTTCTTATTGAAGAACAAGGAAAAGTGAAAAGTGGTTACCCATACCTAGCATAGTACAATCAGAACCTCGTGGAGACCACGGGGGACAGCAGGCCTGTCACTGCTGGCTGTTCTTCCTGCCACAGCCATTCTGTGGTCATTGCCAGCCCAAGGCATGCCCCTGTCCTGTCCCTCTCTCCTCGCTTCCCCTCTCCGTTTTCTATTGCACACAGGACATCCGTCTTCAAGGAAAGTGCTAGCCATGCTTAACCCTCCTGGGAAGGCGTTCAGCCCACCTGGGCTCATAGCCCATCCCGTCTCTTTGGCTTACATGCCCAATGTGCTTATGTGTTAGCTGGCAGTGTTGCCATGCATTGGAGTGACTGGTGGGACTTGCCGGTCTGCCGTCCGTCTGCATCTGAGCAAGGAGTGTGAAGTCCTCTGGGCAGCCTTCCCTGGACGCTGTGGAGACGCCATCTTCCCACCTGAGGTCTCCCTCGGGGTCTCTATAAGGTCTCCTCTCTACAAAGCACAACACTAATGTGTGTCCTTAGACTTCCGTTCAAGGGCCCCCTATTTATTTCAATCAGAACACCCCTGTGGGAGCGACCTTTGTCACCTCTGTTGTGATCCTTCCCACCACCCCTTCCCACCCGCAAATGTCAGCTCTGCAAATCCTTTTTGGTTCGTGAAGGCAGCGGTTAAGGGCACAAAGACAAAAGACGGCCATGGGGACATTAATGTAAATACGTCTCTCCAAGCGCCACCCTGCAGCTGTTTTAACAGTGTGTAGTGCTTTTCCGGTCAGCTTTGCCACCCCAGTGTCAATCATTGGAGAAAATTACTCAGATTTTATTTTTGTATTGGTGGTAACAAAACATTAACCAAAAGGTTTTCTGTTCGGAAGCTTCCCTCAACCATCTCCCCATTCCCTACTCAAGCTGTTTGCTCACATTAACAGATTAAAAGTGCCTGGGACATGATCCATTCTTTCCTTGTATGTTAAAAACCCTGTTGTATTGATTTTTTTATAATAAGCCTTTTTACCTCTGTGTAAAAAATATATATACAAGTGTATGATGTACATTTTAGTTCTTAACTTTTTTTTATGGTTTCTAATATGTATGACCAATGTAGCCGTTGCTTTAAAAATGTACCATGTAAATATAAACACATCCTATCACATCACTGTCTTGGGAGTGTCTCGGGCCAGCGACTTGTGGAGATTTGGGCCACCCTGGAGCTCGGGCCTACCCAACAGGTTGTACATGGATGGGAAGGGTAGGGCTTTCCTCTGCAGATGGGATGCCTGGACACCAGTCTGTTTTTGTGGAGCGCCTCCCGCCCCTGGTTATGTCATAGTCCCAGGGGAGGGGGATCCGGAGATCTTGGGCTCAGCTGCCTCAAGTGAAAGGAATGTTGCCTCTGGCCGCCGCCCTCTGGGGAACACCCCCTCTCCCCAGGCCTGGCTTACCCACCCAGCTGCCTCCGAAGGAATAGCTGGGCATCCTCCACGTTGTACTTCACAGGTTCCCACTGGGTGCCATGGCGTGTACAAGTGTGTGCATGTCGAGTGTGGGAGATGATTTCTCACCAAACACAGCTGGAAAGAGCATGGTCCTGCTCTGCTCCCCTGGGCTCGCTTTTCTTTCCAAACGGCCTGATGCAGGTGCTCAGAAGCTCAGGAAGCAGGCCCTGGAGAGACATGGAGCACACAGTGTCTGCCTTTCACTCTGCTGGAAGGTGGTGGCTTTGCCAAGCCCCTGGCAAGTATGACCAGTCAGAGCGACCATGGAGAGGGCTTCCCAGGACCCTGTCGAGAAAGTGAAGATTAAAGAGGGTGTGTACCTCCCTCTGGCAGCCCGAGGACCCGAGAAAATGGGGACCAAGCGGGGGCCTCGCCTCGGTGCCCTGCCCGGCTCACTCCATGGTGGCGATAGGCTGGAGCAGTGGAGCCCTTCTGGTCCATACTGTTCTCTCAGCCTCCTACCCACCAGGCTGCCTTAGGACTAGCCTGCTGTCTCCAGAGGCCTGTGCACTAGGTGGGGAACCGGGTCTGCTACACCTGTCATCTCTAACCCTCTGGCGGGGTGAGGGTCATTACCACTGTACGTGACGAAGTTCAGAGAAAGGGTCTTTCTGCCATTGCTGGCCTGGAGCCATGGGACGGGTGACAGCACCTCTCTGTTTCCCTGGAGAAGTAGTGGGTGATACAGCACCCCGGCATGCGGTGAACAGTACAGCATGGCAGGAGGCGCCCCGGGAACACTACTCCCTTGCTCCGTGCCTCTTTTATTCTGGGGATCTGAGGAAGTACTACAAACTGGATCCTAGGCCCAGGAGGTTGAAGTGCATCACAGCCGCTTTGCGAGTGCGGATATCTACAGGCTGTAAACAGACTTTTCTTTCTCTTTTTAATTTTATTCTTAATGATGCTTACACAGTAGATTGGGGTAGGAAGGGTCGAGGACTAGGGGAACACAGGTGAGACCACTATTGCCACACCTTCTTTATCCTGTTCCTGTTTGCTCGTTTTATTGTGTAGACATCTGCATTGATATGGTGCAGAAGCATTGAAGGGTAAAATGCTGCCAGAGCCTTGGCACCAGTCAAGACAGAACTACTCACTCAACTGCTCCTCTAGTCAGTGTTAGGTATGTACACTCTTGAAAGCAAATACCAGAGTCCGACGTGGTAGCCTAGTGCCTAAAGTCCTCTCCTAGCATGCACCGGGATCCCATATGGGTGCCGGTTCATGTCCATCCAGCTCCCTGCCTGTGGCCTGGGAAAGCAGTAGAGGATGGCCCAAAGCCTTGGGACCCTGCACCCAGATGGGATACCTGGAAGATACTCCTGGCTCTTAGCTTTGGATCATGTCAGTTCTGGCCATTGCTGTCATTCCGGGAGTGAATCATCGGACAAAAGTTTTCCTCTGTCTCTCCTCCTCTCTATATATCTGACTTTCAAACAAAAAATAAATAAATCTTTTAAAAAATATATTATATAACGGAAATGAAATAAATCAACTTTTAAATCTATGTAATTTGTTGGGCCAGTATTTCCCACATGATCAGTGGAGGCTGTTAAAATGTGGGCCCAGTGTAGTAATCTAGTGGCTGAAGTCCCTACCTTACATGCATCAGACTCACATATGGGTGCTAGTTCATGTCCCGGCTGCTCTGCTTTCCATCCAGCCCTCTGCCTGTGGCCTGGGAAGGCAGTCGAGGATGGCCAAGCATCTGGGACACTGCATCCACGTGGGAGGGCTAGTGGAAGCTCCTGGCTCCAGGCTTCAGATCAACTCAGCTCCAAGCACTGTGGCCACTTGGGAAGTGGATCAGTGGATGGAATGTCTTTCTCTCTGTCTCTCCTCTTTGTAGATCTGCCTTTCCAGCAAAAATTAATAAAATTTTTAAAACTGCAAGGCCAATAAATTGCAATGTGATATAGTGATGTGGTTTCAAATTTCACCTTGAAACTAAGAAGCTCACTTGTGAGTTTTGTCAAGTATCAGACTATCCACAAGGGTCTCATGAGGCTTTCGGAGCAAACATTTGGCCTGGCATTTAAGTCACCATATCCGATGTCAGAGTACCCAGCTATACTCCCAAGTCAGCTTCCCATCAGCCTTTACTGTGGGCAGCAGGCACGGCGGGGAGGGCAGCAGTGACGACTCAAATATTTGGGCCCCTGAATATCACTGGGAGACCCAGATTGAGTTTCTGACTGCTAGCTTCCATCTGGCCCATGTGTGGCAGGCATTTGGGAAGTTAGCCAGCAGGTGAAAGGTGCCTTTCTCAGTTTCTCTGCCTTTCAAATAAATAAATGTACCCCAGATCTTTTCATTTTAATTAAGGAACTTATTTCTATTTCAACAACATGTAGGAAGTCAAAGTTTCTTCGTCTGCATCAACCAAAACTAAGTATCACAACAGATTGAATTCACAAGCAGATATGAGAACCCAGCTGCCTCATATTAGTTAAAGATACTTGTAAAATATGGGCCTGTTATGACAGCCTAGTGGCTAAAGTCCTCATCTTGCATTCACCAGAATCCCATTTGGGCACCAGTTCATGTCCTGGCTGTTCCACTTCCCTTCCAGCTTCCTGCTTGTGGCCTGTGAAAGCAGTAGGGGATGACCCAAATCCTTGGGACCCTGCACCCGTGTGGGAGACCTGGAAGAAGCGCCTGGCTTTGAACCGACTCAGATCCAGCCATTGTGGCCACTTGGGGAGTGAACCAGCATACAGAAGATCTTTCTCTCCTATCTGTAACTCTGAATTTGCAATAAAAATAATCTTTAACAAAGAAACAAAACAAATCTTTTTTTAAAAAAAGGGATCTGTAAAATATAAGCCAGTGACTCTCTTCTCACTAAAGTGTTTTTATTTGGAGACTAGCTTTTTGTTTTTTACCATTGGAAATGTTTTTTACAGGTTTAGTAATGTGGTGTTGAAGCTGAGCCACTGCCTGCACTGCTGGCATCCCACTCCCCCTGTTAATGTGCCTGGAAAGGTGGTAGAAGATGACTTAGTGCTTGGTCGCCTGCTACCCGTGTGGGAGACCCGGATGGCGCTCTGGACTGCTGGCTGCAGCCTAGGCCAGCCTCAGCCGGTGAGAGCATTTAGGGAGTAAGCCAGTAACAGAAGATTCACTCTCATTTTCTCTTTCTCCCCTTCTATCTCCAGCACTCTTTCAAATACATATATAAATAAGTCATTGAAAATCAAAATGTTATTTACACAAGCACGCCAATGGTATTTTCAATGATTTTTTTTTTAAGATTTATTTTTATTATTTTTTCATTGGAAAGGCGGATATACAGAGAGGAGAGACAGAGAGGAAGATCTTCCGTCCAATGATTCACTCCCCAAGTGAGCGCAACGGGCCGATACTATGCCGATCCGAAGCCAGGAGCCTCCTCCGGGTCTCCCACGCGGGTGCAGGGTTCCAAAGCCCTGGGCCGTCCTCGACCGCCTTCCCAGGCCACAGGCAGGGAGCTGGAAGGGAAGCGGGGCTGCTGGGATTAGAACCGGCGCCCATATGGGATCCTGGGCGTGCAAGGCGAGGACCTTTAACCACTTGCGCCACCGCGCCAGGCCCTATTTTCAATGATTTTTAAGAAATATTTATTTGTTTTTATTAGAAAGGCAGATTTACAGAAAAAAGGAGAGACAGAGAGGAAGATCTTCCATCTGCTGGTTCACTCCCAAAGTGGCCACAACAGCTGGAGCTGCACCAATCTGGAACCAGGAGGCAGAAGCTTCTTCTGGGTCTCCCATACAGGTGCAGGGCCCCAAGGCTTTGGTCTGTCCCCCACTGCCTTCCCAAACCACAAGCAGGGATGGGAAGTGGAGCAGCCAGGATACAAACCAGTTCCCATATGGGATCCTGGCTCATGCAAGGTGAGGACTTTAGTCACTAGACCATCACACAGGACCCTAAGTGATTTTTTTTTAATAAACATTTTTTAAAAGTTTCTCAGTTTTTATTTCCAACATCGCCATAACAGTAGCTGTAACTCACACTGAAGCCCCTGAGGAACTTCAGTAGTAATTTTTAGGAGTATAAAGGAACCTGAGAACAAAAAGTGTGTAGTTTTTTCCTGCTGGCCGGCAGGCTGCTTTGTGGTCAAGTCTGCTCCTACTCCCTTCAAGTGCAGCTGGGGCTGGGGCTCTTCTGCTTTTGGTTACTTTGTATTACCTTCTTATTTTAGACAGCTCCCTCTGTATCTCCTGTCTTATTTCAGACTCTTGTGCCTCCCTTCTAGTTCCTTCTGAGGCCAGGCTGCATGGAGACCCTGCTTTACATCTTTCAGTAGACACCGAACAGCAGTTATCAAAGATGAGCAGCCGCTTCTTATAGAACAGCCGACCGAGCGCAGAGACCTGCTGTCCCCAGTCTTGAGGCTCTTTTCATTGGCCACTTGTGAGAATTTTTCCATTGCATGGAGAGCCTCTATCCTGGCTCAGTCTCAGAGACAAGGTCAAGGCAATGTCACTCACCTCCACATGTGTCCTGGGAGCCTCCCCTTGTGACATAAACCTGCCACACCTAGGGAACCCCTGGGTAGCACTGTCTGGGGCTTGCTGACACGGCCTACAATTGGATCTTGTGCTCAGCTCTTGGGATCGCAGCTAAAGCTGGAGTTTTTGGTGGAGTTTCCATCCCTTCCTGGAA